CCCCCCACGACAACTCCCACCACCACTGTGGGAAAGGGGGTGAAGGCAAACGTGACTCATTCCCAGGTTGGCAGGAGCAGACTGACGTTGGGGCCACCAGGAGGATGGGACCTGTGCGGTGCCGTGGGGGAAACTGGGCCTGCCCCAGCGCAAGCCGAAGCCAATCCCCTCCCCGGCCGCTGCCTTAAAGGAGTTTTCTTGGCACAGCAGCAGGGAACGCATGGATGCGATCAACGATCAACCCCGCGCCGGCAGCACTGGGGCCGGAGCGGGGACAGCAGATGGGACGCGGTGGTGAGGAGGGCACACAGCACCACCGAGAGCAAAACTGAGAGACGTCGGAGAGCGGGATGGGCTCCGGACATCGTTATGACCGCTGAGGACTCACTTCTGGGCTTCGATTTCGTTGGATCTCGCTTTGTATCTCTGCTCTCGCCCCGCCGCTTCCTGCAGCTCCCGCTCCCCCCGCTCCCTCTCCAACCGCTGCCGCTCCTCCTCCGCTCTCCTCTTCTCCTCCAGCCGACGGTTTTCTTCATCTTTCTAATGAGAAACGCACAACAGGTCGTGGGTTTCACCCCACCAGATCTGAGAAAAACCCCCTCCCAGGTCCTGTCACGCCGCGCGGTGCCACCAGCCAGCACGGCAGGGACTTCCCGGCAGCTCCCAGGGCGTGCGGCGCCTGTAACGCTTCCACAGCCTGAAGGTTCATGGGCTGTTGCTAAACCGCCATCAAACCCTGCTGAAAAAACAGCCTGAACGGGAAGGAAATGGAGAGCAGCCTTGTTCTGCTCTTCCGTCTTGGAGAGCTGCCTTCAGAAAGGTGAAAAAACAGCTTCCTCACCCAAAACGGAGTTTGCCACCCTTCTCCCCACCTTGCGCCCGCCCCAGCCAAATTAAGCTGAGAGAAAAAGCATCAATTGCTCTTCAAGACTCCTTTTCTCCCCGTTTTGCATCCCTGGAGTCAGCCCAGGTCTGCATCCCCGACCCCAGGGCAGGAGAGCCCTGGTTAGAGAGGGGAGACAGAATCACACCGAATCCCAGACTGGTGAGGGTGGGAAGGTCCCTCTGGAGCTCCCCCAGTCCACCCCCCACCAGAGCAGGGGCACCTCCAGCAGTGGCACAGGACGGCGTCCAGGCGGGTTTGGGATGGCTCCAGAGGGGGAGACTCCCCCACCTCTCTGGGCAGCCTGTGCCACTGCTCTGCCGCCCTCACAGCAGAGAAGGCCCTCCTCAGGTGGAGATGGAACTGCCCATGGTCACCTTTGTGCCCGTTCCCTCTTGTCCTGTCACTGGGCACCGCTGGAAACAGACTGTTCCCACCCCCCGGCACCTCCCTTGAAGGAGTGATCAGCGTTGATAAGATCCCCCTCAGTCTTCTCCTCTCCAGACTGAACAGCCCCACGTCCCTCAGCCTCTCCTCATCACAGAGATGCTCCAGTCCCCTCAGCATCTCCGTAGCCCTTTGCTGGACCCTCTCCAGCAGTTCCCAGTCCTTCTTGACCCGGGGAGCCCCAAACTGGACACAGCGCTCCAGATGTGGCCTCCCCAGGGCAGAGCAGAGGGGGAGGATGACCTCCCTCCACCTGCTGGCCACGCTCTTCTCGATGCCCCCCAGGATGCTGTTGGCCTTCTTGGCCACCAGGGCACATTGCTGGCTCATGGGCATCCTGTTGTCCCCCAGCACTCCCGGGTCCCTTTCCCCAGAGCTGCTCTCCAGCAGGTCACCCCCAACCTGTACTGGTTCATGGGGGTGCACGGGGGACGCATCCAAAACACCTCCAAACTCCATCCCAACGCCTCATCCCACTCGTGCCCTGCTGCTGGAGAGACGCGGCAGCGCTCACCTCGGCTTTGGCCCAGAAGTTATCTTTATTGACTCTCTTGATTTCCGACATGGCATTCGTCTTCTGGTAGACAGAGCCCTGGGGAGGGGAGGGCGACGCGGGTGAGTCACTGAGCGAGCAAGCACAATTTTTGCGTTCTTCTGCAAGAAACACGTCCCCGGGGCTTTTTGGCAGCTTATTGCTGCTGCTACGGGCCGGGTGGGACCCTGCTTTGCCTTCCCCCCCAGAGGAGGACACCCAGCGGCACGGGGCCGAGGGAGAGCGGGCTGTGGGGAGAGGGTCAATGGGAGGTATTTGGTGTCAAGGAGAAATAAACAGACCCTTTGTGATAAAATACAACAGCAAAACCAGCACGGTCCCATCGCTCAGAGCGGTCTGCGACTTTTTAGAAGGTACTATGAGCTGAAGCTTCACCCCAAGCTCTAAAGGAGGGTTGGGTGAAGCCTGACCATGCCAAAAACGGGGACTTCCATGCCAAAAACTGGTGAAGCAGGGCCAGGGGGACAGTGAGGGGCTCGGGTTTGCTCTTTGCCCCCAAGCGGGGTCAAACCACACAGAGCCGGAGAGGACACGTGGCCGAGCTTCTCCTTTCTACGGCTGGGGAACCTCCTCCCTCCGGGGGGGGGGGGGAC